GTTCTTGACTTACAACTACAACTGAGCCCAAAATTTATGTTGCTAAGTGAAACATTTGTTAAGTGAATTTGCCCCATTTTGACCTTTCTTGCCAGAGTTATTAAGTGAATCACTATAATTGTTAAATTAGTCAAACTGTTAAGTAAATTTGGCTTCCCCATTGACTTTGTCAGAGGGTTGCAAAAGGGGATCACGTGACCCTAGGACACTGCAACCGTCATAAATATGTGTCAGTTGCCAATTATCTGAATTTTGATCACATGATCATGGGATGCTACAATGGTCGTAAGTGAAAACTGATCACAAGTCACTTTTTTTAGTGCCCTTGTAACTTTGAACAGTCATTAAAATGAACTGCTGTAAATCAAGGACTACCTGTATTCATATAATGGGGAAAGGATGCTCTCTGTAAAGGGATCATTCTCAGAGACTGCATTCCTGGAAAAAATGGCAAGTCATTTCTGAATGGTTGCCAGGAAACTTGTATGGATGTAGCCCTGAAATCAATGAGACTAGAGCTCACCTAGAAGGAGACATTAGCCTTCTGAGCAACACGGAAAACCTATTACCATTATTGCTTTGCCCCAACACATCCCATCAGCACTGACATTCTTAAAGCAGACAAAATTCCTATGTGGGTATGACAGGCTCTAAATGTTATTTTAAAGAGGTAGACAAATCATAGGATTGCAATTTTTATTTAACAAACAAGTGACAACACTAGAAAACACATTGATAACCAGTGCCTTAGCAGTGAATGTGGGTTCTAAAAAATGTTCGTTCAGATAAATAGCTTGGTTAAGATTCTAAACCATAAGTTTTATTCCTTCCAGGAATGCTGAAATGCTTGTTTACTGCTGTAATTCCTTATTGGAACTTGTACATAATATTATCAAATATAATCCGTAGTTTTGAAATCAACTTATAAAAGCCTTAATTAACACTTATTAGTAGCCCCTTGCAAGTTTATTGCTTTGAGTTAAACACTCCTCCAGAAAAACTTAAGAGAAACTTAACACTAATCACAGAACCCATTCACTCCCTCATTCAATCTAGGTGTTAACACTGGAATCAAAATGATGAGACTTCCCAATATATATATAT